GGGAGAGGAGGAGGAGGAGGAGAGGAAGGAGGCAGGAAGAGAGCACAGGAGAGGAGGTGGGAGAGGAGGAAGAGAGGAAGGAGGGGGGGGAGGCCAGGACTGAAGAGACGAAGGAAAGAGGCAGTGGGCGGGGGGGGGGGGGGGGGGGAGGAGGGAAGAGGAATAAGAGAAAACGAGCAGCGGGATCAGGGAAGAGAGGCGAGGGCGCAGGAAGGCAGGGGGGCGGAGCAGGTGGGGTTTATATAACATCCATTCTTCACACTTAACAACACGTACAGCAAGCCGAGAGCTACCCAACCCCTGCGATAAAACAGGAGAATCACAGTAAACTGAATCATATTATTACTACAACAATTCTTATTATTTGTGCAAAGAGGGTTGTTAGTAGTTGTGGTTGCTGAGCGATGCCCATTTTGGCAGTGGCAGGCAGCAGCTGGAGAACAGTGCCAGGCTGTGCCAAGTTCTGCCTACCTTAAAGGTGGAGGTGGCATAGAGCTTGGTGGCATTGACAGTGTCAGGTGGCACATTGGTGATGTTGGAGATGAACTCCTCCAGGAAGTGGCAGGACTGCTCCAGGTGAGTGGTGTTTATAATGATCTGGACCAGCTGGTAAAGAACAGAGAGTAAAAACACAGACCCCTCAACACTGATGTAATTTATCACAGGACACACACGCCATCAACTGTCTCAGTAATGATTGTGCTGACCACAAGCATAGAGCTATGATGACCATCTTTACATCGACTGCACTTAAAAGTCCTGTCCACAGTGGACTGCCAAGACTGGACTTACTGGACAATGAGACAGGAGAAGGGTTAGAGGTGTCTATCAACACACGGTAAATCTGCCTGCTACTGGCCCATTTCACACCCACTTCAGAAGCAAAGCCAGTTGATATGGGCAAACTGCAGTGCACAGCACAGCTCGGAGAGCAGGCGTGCGAACGGATCCGGCAGTGCGGATGACGAGAGCAGTGTGGCTGACAACAACAAAACAGCTCAGCATTATCACTACCCATAACAGGAAGCCTCAGGTCGAAAGGACAATAATGCCTGTGACTCCTTCATTTCCCCTGGACTCACTGGCTTTCAGAATTATGCTGCATTGTACTCGATACCACACAGCTTGGCGCTATGTCACAAGGTCCTGTACAGCAGATACTGAGCCCCGTTTGTGATCAGCAGGTCAGCCAGGCGTCTCATTGGTTTTCCTTCGAGTGGCGTGCATGCTTCCAGGTTTCCCTCAGCATTTCGATATCAGTAGAGCTCTGATTCAATGTGGATTAAAAAGCCCTGGAACCCCCACACATGGGAATCACCAGGTTTTCACCTGGCCGAGACTTAAGTCAATCAGTAACTTGCTTGATTAGTTCAAATGTAGTTCGAGTAGGGAGCTTACTTCATGATGCGCAGGCTGCAAAGGAACAAGTAGAGGTTTATTCCATGCAGAAAAGACAAGAAAAGAAACACAACGTTTCGGCTGTGGAGCCTTCAGTTCATTTCTGCTGCAACCCACTATGCCTTCAGCTTAATCTTTCTCTAGATCTCTTCGGCGTTCCTTCACCTCCTCTCTCACCAAACCAGCACTCCGTCTCTTCACAGCGATCTGTTCCAAGACCAGGCCTTCTAAACACCCCCTACTCCTCTACAGGTGCTGTCATTATAACATCACTCCTAAAGGATTTTGTCTGACACCTGAACAGGGCTCCACAGCCGAAAAGCTTGTTTCTTTTCTTGTCTTTTCAGCACGGAATAAAGCTTCTCAAGTTCAAATTGACATCCTTTGCAAGGCTGCGATCGCTGACCTTCTCAGGTTCCCTGCAGGCCTGGAGGAGTGACCACTCAGGCAGGAAATTGAGATTCACCGAGCCCCGCCGCCTGCTCACCTCCGTCAGGCCCACGTTCTTCTTCTTGATGGCGTACTGCAGACAGTGGCTCAGCGTCCGGCTCAGCAGCAGGTTGGTGGACTTGTGGATCATGTCATCCACTTCTGTGGAGCTGAACACAGACAGCAGTCAGCCTGGGCTAGCCTGTCCGAAACTGGTCAAAAAGGAGCTGCAGCACTTTTCTTTGAAGGAGGCTTAATAACGCCACTGTAACTCTGCCATGAACGCTCCACAGCACAACAACATGCAGCAGTTTTGTAAATGACATTACTCTCACACAAGTGTTGGTGATGGCTCACAGCACTGCTCAGTTAAGACAATGATATTAAATCTCAATGAAATCAAGATTCACCAGAACTTTATTATTTACACTTCTGCCCTATGCATAATTCTACATTTGAATTGGCTTATAAAAGAGAATGTGATAAAGCTGGCAGTGATTTATTTAACGTTTTCCAATTCTGGAGTGGCATAGCATTTGTGAGGGTGTTATACAGATTTTTTCATGAAGTGTAATTGAAAGTGTTGAACAAAACAGCTTAAACTACTCATCAGAATAAACGCAGAAAGCATGTTTCAGAATGATATTTTTTTACATTTTCACAGACAAGTCAACCAGAAGTTGTCAGGACATGCTGACGAACGACTTAATAGCTGCCTAAATGCAAAGACCCAACCACTTCTGTCCATTCCTCTGTAATTTGCAGCATTAAACTATGTAGCGCTGTTCCCCCACTGCGTTCTGAACTGTGCCAAGCCAGCAAGCTACTCCAAAGGAGAACAGCATTAGAAACAAAAAAACCTCTTGTATCTTCTTGTAAGGAACTTCACTGGAGATGCCAGTTACTGACACTCCCAAAGTAAAGACAGAGTGGGCTCTGAAAAGTTCTGCAAAGATGTATTTTCAAGAAATAAAGAAGATTTAGCAGATTCTTGGGTTATAAATTCATTCCTTCAAAAATTACTAAATTGCTTGTCTTTCTTTGGACAAGGGGCCAAACAAGAATTTTGGAATTTGACTTCCCAGAATTCCACGAAGACAGTCAGATGACTTGGCAGCTGAGAGACAATGAGGGAATACTGAGATGCTGAAAAGCCAAACTAGTAGTTTACACATTCCAGCAAAATGAGCAGGGTAAGCTAAGTCACTGCAGTCAGTCTGAGCCCTCCAAGACTGCTTACAGGCAAAATAGAGTGCAAGAGAGCGCTGTTGTGGATGTGTGCCATTTTCATTTCCAGAATAATTAATTTCCTTTGCCGTGTTCCCAGCTCATTACAGTCAGACAGCTCTTAAATAAGATGGTTCTTGTTCTTCTTATATCATAGACCAGAAGGAACGGAGGCTGGGAGCTCCAGGTACAGACAAGCTCGTCTCACAGTGTGAAGTTTCTCCAGCAGACCCCGGGATGGGTTTCAACACGAAACTCAATTTCCCTTCATTTGCTTCCTTCCAAACAGCTCGGAGAAGTCTTGTCAGAGAAGCCAGACTTTGTGGAGCAGATAGCCTGCCAAAACAATCAGAGCTGAAAACGGAACAAGGGGCTAGATGGAACACATGTGAGAGACCCCAGATAAGGGGGGAAGACTCGGTCCTGATGCCCGACATGAGCTCCTCTTACAGACCAGGCTGCGAGACTGCTCCTCCAGCCTGCATCCCCCCTCCTGAAACACACCACCACTGGAGAGGGGCACAGCAGCAGCATCCCGGACCGCAGACACCCGGGCCACAGCGATCGCGTGAGAGAGCTTCTCCGCACTCACAGGGAGGAAACGGGCTCTTGGGCCATTATTGACTGTTTGCTGATCCCTGAACAGCCCTGGGAGAGCCCCCAACAAGCACAAACACAGCCAGCAAGGGGCTCCTGCGCACGACACCTGCCTGTGTTCTGCGAGGATTTCTGGGGCCAAGGAAATCTTGTCAGGCCACCTCAAAAGAGCACAGTGCATCGCTCAGACGCTCAGCATGGGTTTCAGTGAGTCCTGGAAGTGGAGAGATGTGGGCTCAGGATTGCCTTGTGTGACAGTTTTGCTTTATTTTGAGCGCTCCTTCATGATTTTACCAGAAAAGCCTTTCAGAGCTGAGGGGGAACTGTAGTAAGGAAGCAAGCTGATGCTACACCATTCATTAGACTCCATTACTTTGCCCGCCATCAGCGTGCCTCACCGCTACACTTCCTAGCTTTAAGGAGTTGTTTCAGAAGGATGGTGCCCTTGCTCATAGGGAGGGAGCGTGTGTGTCTGCATGATTAATGACACCGCCTGAACACCAAACAGGAATTCCAGGAACAACATTCAACACGATCTCACAAGAAGAAACACATTATAAAAGGGAACAAATGCTTGAGCTTTAACCTTCACTATTTATTTTAGTCAATCAGTCCTAGCTTTTGCTAGAGACAGATTCCACAGCAACACTGGCCACTCTCCTCAGGTCAAGGAGAGTGAATTCAGGGTTGAGAGCACTTCTTCCCCAAGAACGCAGGGTACAAAACTCTCTTTCCGCCTTCCAAATTCTCATCAGCTTAAGAACAGGGCATGACGATCCATGCTATGCTTACCTTAATACCTAATGTAACCCTAAAGACCAAGCATACAAAAAACTGAAGAAACGGCACCTTTTCTCATTTATAAGAAAAGAGGTCAAAATGTGAAATATCTGCACTAAAGTCAGTAGGAATGAGTGAGCTGATACGACACTGGCTTCAGACTCGAGACCCCGCAGCTCGATTCGCGGGCTGGTCCGCGGAGAGAGTGCAGCTCGGCCTCATCCCAAAATGGAGCGAAAGTGCTGGCATCCTGCTCGGCTCCCGAGGTGCCGCCATGGACCACAGGAACGGGCGGAATTCCTTCACCTCTCCGAGTCTGACCCTGCCTCTCCAGACCTGTCCACCGAGAATTCCGAGACCGCCGAGATATCTGAGATCTCCGAGACCACAGAGACCACAGCTGTTCAAAGGAGAAGCCTTCCTCCGGTGCGGAGAGGGATAAAAGGCTGCAGCACACAATCTGCTGGTCACGATAAAAGGCTGAGGAGCACCAGTGAGCCGGGAGGATTCCAGGGACGTCGGCATCTCAGCAGCTTCATTAAGTCCTGATCCGAACAAATCGCTTGCACAATCAGACTGAAGATGAGATTGCAGTGTCTCAAGTCAGCTCCTAAAAAGACCTGCATTTGACCTCCATGTGTGAAGAACTGAAAAGCACATTTCATTCTGGAGTGGAAAAGTGGAATCCGGCACATTTCTATTTTTAGTTCAACAGGAAGAAAAACCAAGTGACGCAGCTGTACTCCAGGACTGGGGCAGAAAATACAGTTAGAAGTATAAGGCTGTCTAGTGCCTATTATATAATGTTAACACACCCAAAAGGGTTGGGCAACCAGTTGACCTTGGACACCTGGAGGTTTTTTCTCTCCTTGCTAAGGAGTTTTTGGTTCCTATCCTCCGTTGTCTTCTGGTCTTCTGTTCTGTATTCACAAAATGTATAATCAATTGTATCGTTAAGCACCATGGGGCAACCTTGTTGTGAAAGGCGTTATATACTGTAACAATAAATTGAATTGAATTGAATAGTGCAGAAAAAATCATTTTTACAACTGAACTGAATGGCATTCTTTATCACTGACCCTTACTTTGCGCAGTCCTCCTGTTTTAAATGTGTCCTAAGACACTCTCCAGACAGACAAGGACATGGAACAGTTTCAGGTCAAGAGAACAGACAACAGCTCGCTCTTACAGCCAGAACCACTGTGTCCAAAACAGAAATTACACCCTGATCTGAACCCGCCGCTGGGTCAGAACAGGGGTTCCCAGTTCCACTGGTTTCTGTTCCACCTGAGCCCTCGGTTAAATAACTGAACCCCTAATGGACCTAACTGTAGGGTCAATTTGAGCTCTTCAATTGCTTTCAGGTCTTAAATATGTAGGAGGTTGCCTTTTAACAATTGCTTCTCCCACATAACTTAACTAAACATAACACATAACCTCCAGCCTTATAACGGAATATAAAAGAAATTGCAGAGGTTCTGGGCAAGCAGCTATTAGTCCAGTTACAGATTTATTTAACCACGAAGCTCGGCTGTAATGGAAACCACCGGGTGCGGGGGTCCAGGACCAGGACTGCGAACCCCTGAACTCAACAGTCCGGAGGCAGAGGAAGCCTGGAAGAGGGCCAGAGGAAGGAGAGTAATTAATTGAGCAGAGCTTTCCGATACTGCGACCAGCTCAAAGTGCCTGTCATTGCTCAGCAGTGAAGGCAGTGTTAAAGAATTACGGGGGGTTACTTTTCATTACATATGACTAACCCATGAATGAAAAAAAGTGAAGAAATAAAAAGACATTGACAGTTTCCTAATGAGACATGCTATCGGGAAATTGCTTGTGCCGTCCTAAAGAATTCACTGGCATAACACCGGCCAAAACCCTCTCTTACCAGCGCTGACTTTTATTAGTAGTGTCAATCGTTGATTTTAGAACTCAGTTTGAACGAATAAACTGTTTATTAATTTTTCGTCCCTGGTAATAATCATCATATCAAAATGTTTCAAAAGAAAACCTGAGGAATGGACAGGGTACCTCTCTTAAAGAAACAGGGAGCAAAGAAAATAAAAGCTTGTCCACTCTCTTAAATGTGCATGTGCAATCATCGTGCATGTGCAATCATCGTGCATGTGCAATCCCAGGGAGGGTGGGGACCTCGGCAGCACTGGGTGCAAGGCAAGACTTGGGCAGGACGCCAGCGCACCCAAGTGAACATGAGAGGGATTGTGCACAATCACAGGCTGGAATCGAACCCAAGACCCAAACTGCAATGCAGAAGCGCTAACTTCAACCATGCAGGCAGGGTAGGGTATTGTAACATTACAAGAAAATAATGCCACAGTGTACAGTTTCCTCTGTTGTGCATACACATGCAGGACACTAATACACACATTCAAATACACAAAGGAGTGTGTTTCAATAAATAAGAAAGGTGAGGGAAATAAGTTATCTGAGCTAGCTTCAACATGGCTGGCTTTGTGCCACAGACATGAGCTGTACCGGCTACAGTAGAGTGGGCTGGGCTCTGCGTGTAACAGGTGCACGTGTGTGTTTATGGCATTACAGATGGAAGCAGCTCCTCCAGCCCTGCCTTGGCATGCAGAGAGAAGCACCTGCCCAGCACACACTGTGCAGCCAGGAGCTGGACTTGGATCTGACCTACAGAATCTGAGACACGGTGATGAAGTGTGGAAGTATGTGGAGAAGCGACATCTACCATGACCTTACTGAAGGTGGTACTTGAATGAATGCATTAAACCTTATTCAATGATACCCCCTCAATATTCCACTGATCAAATCAACATGTATGTCCATATATGTGCGCACGCATACCTTACAACACAATGCCCTTGGTTCCAATACTCATCTCTTGGTGTTTGAGACCTCTCTGTATGCATACACATAATATTTATATATATATAAATTCATTAGCTAAGGCCATTTCTCAATGCATGAAAGCAGAACGTCTTCTGATCCAACCTGACATATATAAAGACCAAACTGACAGCAATGGATAGCTGTTCCGCCATTAATAGCACCACAAAGCTACTTTGACCAGTCACATGGGCGTATCTTATAAGTTATGGTATCCTTAACATTAATGAACTCCTTAACAGCTCCTGCCAGTTCATCAGAAAGAAGAACAGCTAAATAGACTAATGATCACACTCCATATAGGGAAGCCTGAAACCTTTACAAAGAAGAAGAGGAATCGGAAAGTCACACCAACGGTCCGAGGATGGCCAACAAGCAGAGGGATGTGTTTCTTTCAGTCCGAGGAGAAATAGAGGAAGAAGTTCTCTAATGTGTAGGATTTCTTTCAAAATGTAAAGACAGATCTGGAGTTAATGCAACCGCTTCCTTCAAAGCATATACCTCCCACACCGAACCTACAGCAAGCTTGAGCAGCAGATGTTTCGTCTCGGAAACAAAGCCTGCCACTCTCCTGTCCGACCAGATGAGGTCTGCAACACAGCCCCTGCGATTCTGGCTCTCTGGTTCGTGGGTCTGAAGAGCCGAGGAACCTGGACTTCCCCTCTCTTTCTCTGTTCAACTCCAGAAAGAATGTGCAGAATTCCCTGAGAGCAAAAGGGTGCTCGTCTCACAACGGTGAAAAGGCAGAAACGACTCCTTTTCTAAAGGTCTGAATCGGAGCTCTTGTGAATAACACAGAGGTCACAATGAGGAGGAGAAAAGTGCTGTTCCTCCACCCAGATGGCAGCACTGACCCTGCACACTTCCTGCCATTGACCAGGTGACCCTGTCCCTCAGGGCTGCCTACCGCCTGGAGACACGGCTAATTCAACATGTCACTCGCCTGAGCCGAGCCCCACCCTGCCCCGACATTCACAGGAGCTCCGATGAAACCGCAGGCCGGCCGACAGATGCTTCCCAACACTGAGTCCTTTATAATGTCCTGAACAGGGTAGAAAAATTACTTTTATTTTTTTCCCCGCTGTGTGTGAAACTCAATAGCTTTTAAATGCCGTGCTATACTGTTACTGCGTTGTGGAAGCAAAAAAAAAAGAGGTCTTTGCCGGTGATTTCTCACCAAATAGTCCCAACCTTAATGATGGTAATAGCCCATAATTTTGAAGGCTAGGTTACCCCCTATCCTGTTACAGGGAAGTGCATTCCTGCCAAGTTCAAGTCCTGCTGGCAATCCTCTGTTCAACAGGATGGAGAGAGCAGGACTCCACAGACCTGTAGCTCTGGTCAAAGAGAAACGGCCCTGGACTAATATTAATATGGGCTATTTATGCGATGGAGCTGAATAAAACTTGTCATTTCAAAATATTTACAATACAAAATACAAACCAAATATGAAAATAATACATATGGATGCTCTTACATTTTTTCACTAAATAAAGAAGTCAGCACATGTTTAACATTTTTAGTCTGCGATTCAAGTCCAGGAACCAAACACATGACCCCTGACCTGCAGGAACGACCTTTGTCCTAAGTGAAAGCAGCGCACTTAAACACCTCCAGGTCGTTCTGACAGCCAAGCTCTCTGTATGAAGCGAGAGTTCCTATAGCTCTCTGCCAGCAGCGAGGGGTGCAGAGCAGGGCTCCAGGGCTTCAGGCTGCAGTCAGCACACAGAAACAGAGGAGGCGCCAAAGAGGGAGCCTTTAAGAATGTGGAAGGATCTATGTCAGGTACCTCAGATTTCACAGACTCCAGGCTTGCAAATACAATTACTGCAGAGAAATAATGTCGGTAGCCATCTTCATAGCCTTAAAACAACTGCATTCACCTCAAAGGGCGAGTTCATAATGCTGTGTGGGTGCTCTCCACAGTGGTCACAGCTGCCTTGTGGTATGACAGCTTCTGCATGTATTTCAGGGTGTGCTGGTGCATGATCACACCATGTCCTGTCTGCAGTAGCTCTCGAAGCACTTTCTTACTACTGATCTTTCAAGCAGGGTGCTTGAAGGACACCTGATAATGATTCTAATTCCTCATTAGTAAGAATAAGGAGGCACCCATGCCCTGTTGAACTCCTCCAGTGCAGCTTGTCTCCCAGCGTGTGGTACAGCAGAAGGCATATTCTTTCAGTGTTCTTGTGGAAAGTGCCTTAATCTTCTGTTTTTCCTTAAACCTGGATATCCTTGGAAAACCAAGTTATCTTACAATTACCTTACACAAAACAATAGACCTTAATGTAGTTTCAGCTGAATGGTGTGATTAACAAGCCAGGCAGGGCACATAGTTATTTTTAATTACTAGAAAAACACTACTGTTTTCAATTTCACAGTATTAATGGCATACTGCAACAACATTTGCAATTTACAAAAAACCCAGTTTTAGTGTGTTTGGAGGACACTACATTTCCCAAGAGCTCCTGGGAAGTCTTTGACCTCATTAGTAGTCAGGTGACCAGCAGAGTGACTGTGATTGGTTGAGTAACCATGTGCTTCTGGTATTAAAGAGTGTAGCCACAGGGGAAACATTAGCGTGTGAGAGAGAATAACAACTCAACATGAGTGGTACAACTAATTTTACGTGTTTTAAGTCATTTTATCCCAACAGCAAAGTCTTCAATCAAGTCTCATTTCAGTTAGTTTATGTATCTACGAACCCCAGTGCCTACCTGAGGTGCAGATCCTCAGAGAACTTCAGGCAGGCGTAGATGAACTCCTTCAGCTGGCTGTACACTTTGGGCACAAACGCAGAGAAGGGGAGCTTCTTTGGGAAGGGCAGCTGTAAGACAGACGGGACAATCAAAGTGCTGCAGGACGTCAAGCAGGCTCTGGAGGAAGAGCAGCGTGGTGCCACACAGGCTGGGACACAGCACCGACAGCTGGGCTGCCACCCCACAGCCTGATCCCGTCAGACCCGGGGCCTCAGCTCTAAGGACGAGGGGCGACCAGCAGGGCAGCACTTGAGCATCAGAGGAAAACCATGTGCACTAATAACTATAACAATTCCATAAAGTTATTACAAGGAAATGATAACATTGCTGATATTCATGAACTCATGATATTGATTCATATTTGGCACTAGCTGGTTTGATTGACAGGGAGCCTACTATGATTTACAGCAGCATGCGTCTCCACTGCTAGTAGCAGCACAATCTGCTCCTGCTTTACCCTGGGCTGCAGATGCTGTCTTGTGGGATTTTGTCCTGATCAGGCTAAAGAACCTGGTCATGAGCCTGTTTGCTGGGCTCTGAGCCCTGGATACCACGTCACCCCAGCTCATCCCACAGACGTTCAATGAAAGGTTATTTGCTGCAGAACAGCCCCTTTCTGATCTCGCAAGGAAGCTGTTGACACACGAGCAGCGAGAGGATGTGTCTTGTCCTGCTGGAATGGTGTCACGTCAGGACGAGCCCACAAGAGGCTCAGAGCAAGTGAGGTCCCGGGACTTGATCACTGTAGTGCCTGGCAGTCAGCCTACACACCTGGACGTCTGCATGAGCACACCACACTGGTCAACGTCCATCAGGGTGGTCGACACAGAACCCTGAATCTTTATCAGGGTGCACCTGGCTCCAGTGCTGAGGACATGAACGCTGCTGAGCACTGGGCCTCCGTGGTTCTCTCACCAGACAGGGGACTGTGTGCAGGTTACTGTGATCTGGCCTTCCTCATGAGTAGGCCATGCCATCTCCGGGTTAGAAGCTTCTGAGTGTGATTGCGCCAGAGAGTAAGACACAGTGTGTGGCCTCCAGCATACAGAAGGCACGAACTGCTTCTGTCTTGAATAGTGAGGCACAGTGATGTCTTTTTCTTTCTTGATCCTCACCAAGGCATAATATTCCACAGGTTAAATCATCTTGTCACCACTGCCTCGTTCAGCAAATCTTCCCCAAAAAACAGAATCTCTGTCCTACACCCCACTCTGGATCGATAGTATATGATATCCCAATTCAACTGTCTCCAAGCATGCAATCAAGACTCTTTCCATAAGCCTTTTGGAAGAAGGTATCCGGGGAATTAGTATTTGGAAAACTGCAATGCCACTCCCATCCTACGGCACATTTATACAGCTCAATTAGAGAGTAACTCAGACAACAAAAGCAGAAGGGCAGATAGAGATAGGTTGCAAAATTCTCTAAAAGTTTAAAGTGTTAAATATACAAGGATGCTATCCATGGGTTACTAGACATATATGGGAACTGTATCCAGACAGCTGCCCACCTTCTCCAGCTCAGGGTCCTGGAAAGGGAACTGTCCCACGATACGCCTGTACTCCTCCTCACTGGATACGGGGATTGGGCTGTAGTTATCCTGGTCCAGGATTTCCCTGGATGGATACAAGTAGGACAAAAGAAAGAATTGTTGTAGCTACAGCATGGTAAGAAAGTACATCTCATTTGCAGCAAAAAAGGAATCAATCTAAGAATAACAAGGAATATTGAAAGAAGTTTGAGCTCTGACACATGTTACACGAATACTGCTGAAAGTGATCACTGGGTTTAAGGAACCTCTGCTGGGTTTAAAGAACAATTCACAGTTATAGCCGGGGGAAAATACTGACGGCAGTTTAATTTTTGTACTGACCTGTTGTGCTAACAGTGAAACAGGGAGAGCTCTACAGCGTGCAAGAAATAAATGACACTGACTAATCAACAGTGCTGTGGAATGAATAAACTATAAAGAACATGATGGCAGGAATGGCTTCCTGCTCTGACACTGCTCCAGGCCGCAGGCCTCCTTCCCCACAGACCTGTGTATTCGGCAGCGCTGGCCTGGTACACCAGCCTCCTGATCCGCTCACCTGAAGACCTGGTTCCACTTCTTGAGCAGGATCTCGCTGTACTGGTCCCGGATCTCCAGAAGCATGTCAAAAAGCTGGTTGACCAGGAAGCCGTAGCCCTGGGCACAAACGCACATGTACAAGACTAAACGCTACATTTAGAACCCGGAGCCACAGATCACTTCCTTCCCACAACACACACGCTACAGCCTTCCCTTACACTGAAAACCAACCTCACGGAGATGGTCACTTCCGCCGCCCACAGGCAACAGACATTAAACAACATGTTTACAGCGTCTGCATCTTGACGTCATTTCTCAGCAGGTCAACAGCCTATAGAGGCACACGAACTGAACAATAAATTCAACATAATTCAGAAGTGACAGACAAGACCAGGCTGATCGTAACATCTGGGCCCTTTGGGAGTTAGCAGTTAACTGATGTCAGGATCTCATCCAGCTGTTTTGTAAAAGACACCAGGGTATCAGTTCCAGCAACATGGCTGGACAGCGTGCTCCATTCTCCCACGGCTCTGCGTGAAGACATGCCTCCTGCTGTCAGACTGAAATGCACTCCCCTGTGGCGTCCACTGTGTCCAGTATCAGACGTGTGCTCCAGCCCCAGAGCACAGGGAGAGACACAAGCCAGCCGTGCAGCCGGGGTGGAGGGTGAGCAGAGCAGAGAGAGAGCCGGCAGCGGAGGACGGGAGGGGTTTCAAGCAAACGGAAGCTGGGGACCTGGGGTCAACTTTTAAGGGAAACACAAAGGGATCCCAGTCCAGAGAGGTCAGAACCAGGAGCACAGCGGCTGGAGAGGCAACAGATATGACAAGAGTCCCAGCACTAAGGGAGGGAAAGTTTTTACGGCTGCAGGAGGACTGAGGAAGCGGAGAAAGAGATGAGACTGGGTGCAGACCGGAGATCGCTCTGCCGAGAAGAGACAAGGCACGAGAGGAAGACTGGGAGTGGATTTCCTGGTGAAGGTGAGCAGACGTAGGCTGGTCTGTATCAGACAAGTGGAAGGGAGCGACAGAAGCAATGGGGAACAGGAGGCACCAGAATGTCCTCCTATTGGTGGGAAAAGGCCGAAGGAGAGCTGAAAGGAGGGGCACTGTGACACAATAAGACGAGACACTGGCATAACCTGTTATGCCTGCCTGGAAGGAAGAATTCGCTGCTCACGATATTGTCCCTCTGCTGGGTAAACAGCCATCGATACTGATGCCAGGGGAAGGGAAGCCTGCCTGCCTGGACCCTGCAGCAGGGGGCTCGGCTCTGGCGGTCTCACCTGCAGCGTGTCAGCGAAGAGCACAATGAGGTTCTTCAGATCCAGGACCAGGTTGGGATCAGTGCAATAAGACTGGAATCAAAAACACAACACAGTCACACACACTGACCAGCACCACACAGCAAGATGCACAGCCAGCACTCGGCAGAGATCCCAGCCTGACACACACCCCATGTGTATTATCGGCACCCCTCTTTCATGTACACATACAAGTAGGCTTCTGTATACAAATCTCACTTCCAAACTCCTCTGCCCGCACTGTTCTACACTAGACTATGCTCATTCTGTAAGAACTGTTACAAATCCAAGCAAGCTATTTGGTTGCCAGTAGCTAATTATTCTCAGAATCGAGAAAGAACGTGTCTGTCTCTATGACAATCCCATGAGACAACGAATCATTTCTGTTACTCTTCTCTGAACTCTAAGGCTATAATAAACTTTTTATAGTATGGTGACCAAAACTGAACACAGTGTCCTAAATGAGGTCTCACTAGCGTATTGCAAAGCTTGAACATAATTGTATACATGCAGAGACACAGTGGCGCAGTGGTTAGGATGGCTGTCTCGCAGGACTGGGGCCCTGGGTTCAATTCCGGACATGGGGTGCTGTCTGCATGGAGTTTGTATGTTCTCCCAACACTCGTGTGGGTTTCCTCCAGTGGCTCCCACTGCCCAAAGACAGGCTGGTAGGTTCACTGGTTTCTGAGGAAACTGGCCCTGGTGTGTGTGTGTGTGTGTGTGTGTGTGTTTGCGTCTGCGCATGTCCTGCAATAAACTGGCGTCCTGTCCAGGGTGCGTCCTGCCTAGGTCCTGTTGCTTGCTGGTATAGGCTCGGGATTGGCTGCTGAATAAAGCAGTCAGAAAATGGATGGATGTACTGTAAACACACACACAGTATATAAACCACAAGGGCAGTTTGGGCTGGTTTCACCTGCACTCTCTTAAGGGTGTGTGTGTTATATTTTGCTTTTGTTAAAAACCAAGCAAACGCAGAGAAGCAACTCGTGATCTTCACATCCCCTTTTCTCACAGGCGGACAAGAGTCTGATTTGCTGGCAGTGCATTTATTAAGTCAACCTGGTCCGTATTTGCAGTTTCAAGGTGTTTTTAATTCACTTCCACGTTCCTTCTTGCACGTTCTCCACATCGTTGTGATGTAATTGTCAGTGACTCCTGCCACAGAGTCTTGGAAAGCGGCTCAAATCGTTCAAATCGCTTTCTTCTCTTCCAGCATCTGCACTGCAGTAGATTTCAGACACACCTGATTCGAGGAGGAGCGCCAGATGAAAGAGCAGAGGTGCTGAAATGCTCATTCGTACCATCACAGACAAGACGACCAGCAGCTAAGCCTGGGTCAAGGGTCACAGTAATATTCAGAGCTGCAGCTGGCGGGGATGGGAGGTGATCATCTCTAGTCTATAAGACAAGCGCCACAGCTTGCACTGGAAGCCCAAGCTTTAACTGGACTTAACATATATACTGTATGTTATGCAAAAGGTTTAAGTTGAATGGACACTGATATACAAATGCATATAGTGAGCACTTCAATAAAATTAGAGCTGTTCCATTCTTATCAAATCAAAGAAAACAAGTGAGTATTAAAAAGTAATAATCAAGGAAATGTTCTGTTAAGTGTGTAGGTAAAGCCAAGAAATAATAAGAAACTAGTAAGATATCTTTACACAAATGGCTTAAAATAATGCTGGCTAGCTAGCTAGCAGGGGGTCAGATTAGTGGACACACTGGCTTTACACGCCCAAATGATTGAAATATTACCATCTTATAATTAATTATAATTATTAGAATTGCTTGCGCTTTTCTGGACACTCCACTCAAAGCACTTTACAGGTAATGGGGATCCCCTCCACCACCACCAGTGTGCAGCCCCACCTGGATGATTCTCCAGTACGCTACCCACACACCAGCTCTCAGTGGGGAGGAGAGCAGAGTAATGAAGCCAATTCAGAGAGGGGTTTTATTAGGAGGCCATGATTGGTAAGGGCCAATTGGAAATTTGGCCAGGACGCCGGGGTTACACCCCTAGTCTTTTTTATTTACGTCTCATCTGAAGGACGGCACCTGTTTATAGTCTAGTGTCCCCATCACTATACAGGGGCATCAGGACCCACATGGACCGCAGGGTGAGCGCCCCCTGCTGGCCCCACTAACACCTCTTCCAGCAGCAACCTTAGCTTTCCCAGGAGTCTCCCATCCAGGTACTGACCAGGCTCACACCTGCTGAGCTCCAGCTGTGAGCTGCAGGGCGATATGGCTGCTGGTGATGGAGCTGTGCTCCTATGCCCTATTCCTAACTCACACACTCGCATGAAGGAGAGGCAGCAGCCCGCGCAGCCGGGCCTGGACACAGGCTCCTCCACTCGCACCGGGCACCCGCCTTTGCTCTCGGGACTCAAGCCCCGCCGGAGGAGAGCAGTTCAGGGTGCCTGGCTGAAAGGATGCCCTGCAGGTGTGGTGCCGCGTGGCTGCTCACCGAATGCGTCCTCAGCGCCGCGATGGTTTTGGAGAGAGCCAAGTCCCACAGCTCGTCCACGTACGCCCGGTTCACCAGGCCCCGTGTCGTGTGCAAGATGTGATCCTCCACCACGAAAAACCTGTCACAGGGAGAGAGCGCCAGTCAGGCCAGCGGGCAGGGGGCGTCCCTGCTCCCGGAGCGCCACACCGAGCCCGTGACTGATTTAATAACGGGGTTTCTCTGCGTCAGAGCTCAGAGGCCTCCTTTCAACTGTTATGTGTCATAAGTACACAATAAATTCTTCAGCATTCCAGTCAAGCAACCTTGCAGTTCATTTAAGGTTTCAATTAGGTAATTAAGCTGGGCTGGATTGCAAACCAGCAGGTGGGAGGACTTCCTGGACCAGAACTGGGAACTATGGTGTAGTGCCTCAGCTACCGCAGCATCAACACCCATCTGCAGGGCATAAGCTGAAGTGCCCTAGTCCTGCACTGCAACAGCTCTGGCTCTCTCTTGCCAAGGGTTTCTCTGCTTTGTGTATTTTTCGAATACACTGAGATAATTGTTTGTTTAACTGGTTCAATGTTGAAGCTTTTTTTTCCAGCGCTTGGTTTATAGATGCCAACAACAGCTGCAGGATCACGGAACTCCGCACTCCCCTGGTGTAAAAAGCACTTAATAATAGTTCTGGAGCGAGCGGCTCCGCTGGGGCCGGCTGGGTCCGGACTGTCCTGTCAAACCCACAGAACAGGGCCGTGCAGAAAGAACAGGGCCGCCGGAAGACTGGGGCAATCAAGCCAGCCGCTGGAACGCAAAGCTCCTGGCGGAGACGCGACAAACCGAAAGGCTAGCGGCGGAAGGACCGCCGGTTAGCCAGCTCCAGCGCTGAGCGCCGTCCTGCCCGGACGCAGAGCCCCGCGGGAGGCAGGTCCGGCCCTCCTCGCCGGCTCCGCAGCTCCGAACAGCACGCCCGGCGGCCCGCGCCACCCGCCCCGGCCAGGCAGTGCTGACAAGAGTCAGAGGAAGCTGGGGCCGCGGGACTGCAGGAAAGCAAAACAGTCCTGCCCGGACGCAGAGCCCCGCGGGAGGCAGGTCCGGCCCTCCTCGCCGGCTCCGCAGCTCCGAACAGCACGCCCGGCGGCCCGCGCCACCTGCCCCGGCCAGGCAGTGCTGACAAGAGTCAGAGGAAGCTGGGGCCGCGGGACTGCAGGAAAGCAAAACATTCCGGCCAGCGGGAGGAATCCCAAGCTGGAACGCCGGGGATCCAGGGCTGTTTGCGGAACGCTTACCCTCGACCCAGACGCGGAAATATTCCTCCCTGAGAGGTGAGGAGTAAACAGCCCTCGCATCTCGAAACGTAAATTCACCAAGTCCTCATCCCAGCAGGCCCTGCGGATGCGGCGCAGCTCGGCCTGCACGATCTGTGATCAACGGATATGAGCTTGCCCTGTCCTAGGGGTCAGGCGGAGGAGAGGAGATTCCCCCCCGTCCCCCTTTCCCCTACACGGGGAGCACGCAACTCGCACACAGCTACTGGGTCTGAACCGGGCTCCGACCGCCAGCAGCAGTTTCACAGTGACACTTCACTCCAGAGCACGCCGCTATACTCCTCTTAAAGAACACCGCCAGCGTCTCTACTCCTCAGCCCACCCAGACCAGGAGAGTCGTGACCAGTGACAGCTCAAAATCATTCAGATACAGTTGATGAGCCAGCTGACTCTCACTCTGACCCCAGCCGTCTTCTCTGAGCAGAGCAGGGCAGACACAGCGCTCTGCTGCTCTTCCAGCTGGCTCGCAAACACAGCTAAGAAGTGATCGATGTAATTAAGCAGGTGAACGAGCCACAAAGCCTAAGGGCCCACATACAGACCCCGAAAGGCTCGCCCGTAACCCCAACATTAATTCATAACTGCTCCGGCACCTCTAAACACTGGCGGGTGGAGTGTGACCAGCTGAAGCCCCATCTCGGAAACACAGCTGCTGGTTTACAAGCTGTAATGAAATGGCTGATGTGGAGCCCGACCGGGGGTCCGGTGCAGCAGGGTACCTGCGCAGGGTCTGTGTGGACAGGGGTATTTCATCTTGGTATTGAAGATTAGGATTGAATTTCATTTAATCATAAGTATTCGCTGTAGCCATCAACCTTTTTTTCTGAAATACGTACTATCCTTAGGCTCCAGGTCCAGCTTTGACCTTCGACCTTGTATCAGATTAAGCAGTTAGAAAACAGATGGATATTTACTATCCTTAAGCATAAGTTGAAGGTTACAATATTATGTTACAAGTGTTTTTTTTTAAATACTGTCCTCGTGTCTCTGCATATCACACCTGGAAGCCCCCTGTGGAATAACACAGCCCTCAGTAAAACACACAGCAGAGAGCTGTTGTCTATATGACTAAGAAATTGCCCTGGAATTGAATAAAAATCCAAACACTTTCCTTCAGAAAAGCATGTTTCTTCAATTAACAAATGTGTGTTGTTTATATATAAATCAAGATATAAATCATATCATTCCTGCAGGCCATTTTCACATCTGGGTGAACTTTATCACTTTGTGGCTTTTATTTTGGGGTGCCAATCCGTGTACCCCACAACGTGGAAAACCTGTGCCACAGCCAGGCAGCCCAGTCCGTCTGTCACTCAGCTGACGACGGATCCCTGTGAGCTACAAGGATCAGACCAGGAACTGTCACTTACCCCACGATCTGATTGAAGTATCTCCTGTAGCCTCCCAGTGTCTCGTGCTGCAAACACACACAGAGCAAACCTCAGCAGCAGGTCACACGTCAGGCTGCAGGGCCGCCTGCAGCACACCAGGCAAATCTGCACTTTTACCTTGCTTTGTCACACTGTCATTAGACATTACGCCACTTTCACTGTTTCCTACACTTTTAAAGCAAAGGATTTATGACAGAAATAATTTTGAGAATACTGTTGCAGAGCCCTTAAGAATTGTATACCACAGCAAATGTTGGCACAACCCTTCTCCATTCCAGTAAAGCAAAGTGAAAACATGGCCAGTCGTAGGAAGTTCGAGGGACAGCAAGGAATAACATGGTAAAACGGAGAAGAAAATCCCTGGAAAAGTGTGAATTTACATTGCTCGCTGACCACAGCTAATTCTTTCAGACTAGCCATGCAGTGCAGGTACGTCTTTCCCACCCGTGTGTAACAGGGATCAGGGGCACATTACGGAGAGACATCACCATCAACGACCTCAAAACCTAGACAGCGCACAACTGTGAGCAGAGATGGAGAGGAGACCCGTCTTGTGGCTCTGCAGAGTTTGCCCTTGTGTGGCGACTGGTGCTGTCTGGCTCTGAGCACATGAGCGACCGTGATCGAGCCCCAGCAGGGGCAGAGCCGTGCTGCGACTCACAGGTTGACGTCCAGCAGGCAGAGAGGTTATTAATGAGGAGGCGTTCAGAGCGAGGCAGTGTAACAGGGCTCACCGCACTGATCATGCTCCAGACGTGACATCACCCCAGTGAACTGGGACAGTGCAGAATTGCCAGAGTTTCCAGATATCTAGGGACCAGTTCTGTGAGCAACCGTGAGTAAACCCGAGCAGGGGCAGAGGGGAGCTGCACTCGACATGCGTGTGCACCGTGTAGGGTGTGGAATTGAGCGCACACTGGGCAAAAGAAATTGTGCAGTGTGAGGGAGACAAGTGCCTACCATGTTAGAGTGAGGCTGTAGGACTAGACGAGCCTGTTTCCTCCTCTGTTTCCTGTAGTAGGTCTCAAAGGTGTCCCTGGCTCCCTGGAATCAAAACCGAAACGTCAGGACCACATCATACTGTATAACCCTTTCAGCCAACCTCAACCCAGCACAACCATGAGCTGAGGAGGAGCAGAAGTAAAGCTGCTGAAAGTCTTCTAAGCAGCTGGGCTCTTTCAGACCTGTTGAGAAACATAATTAAAAGTATTTCTGTGAGACAGGAGCGGCTCTTGAAGGAGAAAAGGCAAAGCATGCACTTCGACGTCAGCAACATAATAGGCTTCTATTTCGATGCAGAGACAGACAATGGGAGCTCACCGGCAGCACCAGGGGAAATGTTCAGAAACAAAAGATAAGAAACAAATTATATACAAAGGCTGAAAAAGAAAAAAGGAAATGGGATTTTTTGCAATTGTGATAAGACGGACTGCTGAAACATCCTCCCGATAACTTCTCCTTACACCAGCTTCAGGATTACCCAATTAAACTCTGCTCTTGCTGCACTTCAGAGAAACAGGGGCAGCTGTGAGCAGGAGAGGAGGGGAAGAGAAAAGTCCTGATGAGAGACTGCCACCAGCGCGTCCCACCCAGCCCTGCAACGATACTTCCAAACCAGAGCAGCCAACAGCTCTCCACCAGGCCCACAGACCCTTCGCCAGCGAGGCACTGGACCAGGCCTGATCCCACACTTCCCACACCGCAGGAAGCACCCAAATTTCACCCAGATAGTTGTGAAAGGTCAAAATCCATACTGATGCAAACAGATCTTTGCTATTAAATTTTCCAGCTCAAGGCCGTCTTTCAGAGTTTCCAGCCCGGAGCTGGGGCTCTACCATGCAGGTCTGGCACGATGCCACAATGGCGTCGCCCTGCACCACACCGGGCAGGGCTCTCCTAGGGCACAGCCGGAGAGAAGGGGGCTGAGCCACGCGTCGTCAGGAGGAATCGCTCACTCGGCCAAAAACAGACTGAGAAAGTGATTGTAAGAGTTTAACATTGCTGGTTTTGTTACCCTCATGCATGAAGCACTTTTTGTCATGAAAGTGTCAAAGGAAACTCGCTTTACAACCATCGAACATGTGTGCTGTATTTTAATCAAATGAATAAAACACAAAGTGCTGAGATTTGCCCTGAAGTCTGAAAGAGAGCTGGAGATGAAGACCATGTCCTGGCAGAGGCTGCTGGGCAGCAGCACGGGCACCTCCTCCCCTGCTATCGTGCTGGAACAGGAGTCCTCCGGGGGCTGGGGCTCTCCTCTGCCCGGAGATTAGATGGCGGGGCAGGTCTGAGTGGTGGCAGACGGCCCTCACAGCGGTAACCGATACACGCTCCCTCCCTTTCGGATGTGCGCCCGCTGCCATCCCTACAGGGGCAACAGCTCGTCTCCGGCTCTGCTAATGAAGACTGGACGGAGCGGAAGGGAGCGCCAGACGTCCAGCAACAGGCCGGCCTGTGCCAGCCCTGCAGATGTGGACTCATTGACAGAAGAGATTGGGAGAGTCATCCGGGTTACTGGACTCTCTCCGCTTCACGCTATTATTAGTAACAGCATGCTGAGCAGGGATAATCATGGTAAAGTTGTTGGTAGCAGCCACAGCGATCACAAATATATTATTACTGGTACCATTGTGGACATTATCCTGTATGGAGTCTGAACAGGACAAGCTGTGAAGGACAACAGAAACCACCCTCAGGTTTCAAGATGTTCACTGATAATCCTCTCCGCATTCTTTCCACCACCAAGCTGAAAAAACTGCACACTGAGAAGGGACAGAAGAAAAGCCTCTGGGTGCCTGTGCCTTTTTAGAGACGCAGCATGCGAGTCTTAGAGAGCTGCAATTTCTTTATGGCACATCTCCCACAGAGGGAAATTTCCAATGTGATCAAACTGTCTATTTTAACCGGCCAGCCAGCACATGAAGAGAGAAAGTGTGTGGGAAGGGGCTGTCAGTGAAACAAGTATGGGGATGGGGACTGTGAACCAGAGAAACAGAGAGAGCAGGTCAATAGCAGAGGAGGAGAGAGGAGAGACCCTACAGGGCACAAGAGGTGTGCTCCACATCTATTCATCCTTTAACGGTTATGTCTACTTAATACATACCTTTTCCTTCATGTTGTAAGACAGCGATGGGAACATGAAATTATCAGCTTTTGTCAAATAAAATGACAAAACTGTAATTGGAGCCAAGCCTGCTTCTAAAATCCTAGAGGCTCTGTAAAGAAATGTCTGCAGCCCCAGAGTGGCTGTCCGATCCCGGCACTGCAGTCAGAGAGACAGGCCATGCAGGGGTCTGACAGACTTTCTCAGAGTATCGCATGCAGGCAGCAAAAACATGAGCTGCAAATACAGAGTGGAGCACGCTGAGCTTGAAGATTACAAGCATAACATTTAAATAAAGGAATGTTATGTTAAAAATGAATTACCCACTACTGATATTTAATTGTGAATATTGTGGACAATTTAGGTCAACATGTTAAAGAAAAATATTGTTACTCTGGAAACAGTGCAGAGAAGAGAGTGGCACTGGCACTGACACTGACAGGCTGAAGGAGCTGAACCTTTCAGGCTCGAACAGAGGAGAAGGTGTGGGGACTAATACCAAGTACTCAAAATCCTCCAAGGTCCTGACAGGGTCACCCCAGTGATTTCTTCAGAATCAACAGGGAAACACAAACCAAAGGACACGAGTGGAAACTGTGAAAAGCCATGGAAAACCAAAAACAGGAGGCACTTCCTTACACAAAGAGGTGTGGGAGTGTGGAACAAGCTACCCCACCATGTTGCTGACGCCAGAACCCTGACTTCTCTCAAGAAACTACTGAATGAGATCCTTCAATAAATTATCTACTGATAGTGGCAGGAACTACCAAAGGGCTATAAGGCCACCTCTCGTTTGTAAGTTATGACCCCTCGGCTCCTTGGCCAGCCCCTGGCACAGGCCTGCCACTGTCAACACGCCCTCCTGCTCAACTCTGAGCTTCCCCACCAGAGACTCCCACTTCCTGCAGCACGGGCCTGCTTCCTCTCAGATAGGCGTGCCAGCACTGCCTGACCCCCTGCCCCTCTGATAACCCTGGTCCTGGGGGGAGCTCTGTTGCCCTCTTCGTGGGGGGTGGGAAGCGTGTGTTTTCTGGAACACACACTCCATTACCTCACCAGCCACACAGAGGCTGAACAAAACCTTCCTTTGTCCTTTCTGGTTACTGCTTGCCATCAAGACTGAAGCAGGACGCAGGTTTCTGGTGCAGCGAAATGAGTCTGCTGAGTGAGATTACAGCCTTCTTAATCTGGAGCAACCTTTCACTAGGGCAGGCCTCAGAACTGTCTTGCCATAATGCAGATCTGAAACCCAAGGTAATTATACTGCAATATTGGAACTACATTTGTAATTAACGTGGTGCATTAATAATTTAGGTTACTGACAATGAAGACACAGTAGTCTCCAGTCCCGGAGAGCTGCGGCCCCACTCACATGTGGCAGCAAACTGGGCAGCACCTCTGTCGGTTCCCGACTGGGGGAGGCTCTTCGGCTGGGGGAGTGAGGAACCACAGGAGAAGGTGGTGGGGGGCGATATCTCAGAGATGCCAGAGCGGGGCTAATGGTACGTGCCCCCCTTGCACCACTCTGAGCTTGTGAAGCTTGTGCCACGCTGTCGCCCAGAGACCCAGCAAGAGCTACAGCGTGTCACGTAACAGGAGAGCAGCGCCACACGCTGGCAAATCCAGGGCCACTTGCAAGGGGGCGTTAAGAATAAAAAAATCACAGGCATGGGCCTGATAGCTAAAATAATAGGAACAACACCTCACACCTGTACAATGCTTAACCCTGAAGGCTCCCTAAGTGTGTGTAACAGGCAGGAAGGGCCTCGCTGCACCCCTCTGGAGAAAGCCCAGCCTGGAAGAGAGTCAGGATGCTGGGGTCAGCACTGCTGCTATGAACAGGCAGCTACAAAAAGCAGCAGGTTACCAGCCTGTACTGAACGAGCGCATTTCTCACAGCAGCGTCTTACACTGCGGACACGGGCTCGGAATCTGCTGTTCCCGAGGGAACGTTGCCACCCTCTTGCCCACCTGCTCCACCTCCAGCGCTGGCATGACTGACTGGCTGTTGATTTGGCCCATCTAAACCCTGACTATCCCCACAGCCTCGCTGGGCTCCTGAGGCCTGGCCCGCGTAAGATGGCGGCTCTTTTCTTAACCACATGACCCAGAAAGCTGTGGGGTGTGGCCGGCCTTCCTCCGTCGCCTAAGCAGCTACAGGAAGACGATTGGTCAGGTGACATCGAAAGGCAGGCAGCAGCGGCCAACAGCCCCAGTCTGCGCCTGATGAGGCCAGGTGCTCACTCAGGTGACACCTGCAGCATGGGAGGTGTGTCCAGCGCTGAGTCACTGCAGAGAGAACCAGCACGCCTGCAGGTGATGAATACCAGGAAAACTGCGAAAAGGTGGCCAGTCCAGGTCACCATCTCATTTTAATAAAGGTTGTTTACGAGGGGTGAAACTATCCAACAAAAGTGGTCAGGAACAGCACATCCAATCCTATGATATAGGAAGAATAAGTGATGGCTTGAACACATGTGCTCATTTAAAATCTATACTAAAAAACATCTTAATAATCACAACAATAATACATTTACAACTCAAGAAAGATCGTATTGTTCCCCTTGGCTTGTTTAGCTGGCGTTTGTTGACATTTATCAAAACTTTTAATCAGATTTTTTTCAGCAAAGGAAACAGTAACGCATTGTTCAAGACCAGACTCTGTGTTACAGAAATATTGAGGAATTTAAACAAAAACCCAGGAAACAGAAAAAAAAAATGGATGGCTTGATTAGAAAAGTGACTCGACGTCCAGCATTACAATAAAAATAAATGAAGCCGTTCCAGCGCGCTCTGTAAAGATAGGGTGTCCTTGGCGCGAGGCAGCCGGGGAGCAGGCCTGGCGTGGGGGGGCGTGGGGGCCTGCAGAGGAGCCTGGGACATGTGTGCAGCAGATGCTCACCCTGCTCTGCGCAGGAACGGGCAGGGCGCACCGTCCAGGAGCACTGACAGACTGATAATACAGCTAGCAGCAACAGCACAGACGATTCTAATAATAGCAAGATGAATGTCAAGCTAGGGTTACTAACCGGAGTGAAAGGAAAACACTCTCAACTTCCATAGCCAGTGAGCAGCTGAGCCAGATTCGTACTCCACAGCAGAGCAGAGCCTTTCCCAGTCCTGGTTCTCTGTGATTCAGTCCGCCAGCCTCAAGACGTCACTAGAATTGCCACACTTCATGATTACAGATAACTGATCAGTGCTACAGCTAGGTAAGACATTTATTACATCCTTCCCATAACAGAGCACCGAGCAGACACTGTGTACTGGTGTTTCTTTCAAGTAGTACATCAGACGTTTGTCTGAAGCACTGCTCTGTGGTTAGACCACTGTTACATAAACCACTCGCTTGATAACTGAATCTCTATAAATATACACATCAACTAAAATAACAGGCAATATTCTCATTAGAGGGATACTATTCATGGCCTTCCTGTCACAGAAGGACTCGAGAAAATAAAAAATGCAATCAGGCCATTGGATAAGCTTCTAAACACAGGGTAAGGTAAGGGTTTATTTATTAGGTTCACAGAACTATGAACATGATGAGCAAATTAAAATAAAAAATGGATAACACTTCTAATATCTCTACAGATCTGACACGTCAAGTGTTTGAGTCTTCTCTATTACAGTGCCGAATAAGCTCCTGCTGCGGCCTGCCAAAAACAGTGAAGTTGAAAGTGGTTTGGTTTTGTGTACCTGACCCTCCCAATTCAGGCTCACAGCCTCACACGCTGGTCCACAATCTAGCGCCAAGGCAAAGAGCACCTGAGCTGCCTGGCAGTGTCACGAAGGAGGACGCAGGCTGAGAATGGCAGTGTGGCCTCGAACAGTAAGGTGTTTATGAAAGGGTAGCGAAGGCAAGGTCACGAACAGCTCGCACTGTTACAAACACGAACGGCTCGGTCCGTTACCGAGGCCAGCGGGCGCTGCTCGAATCCCCCCCCCGGCCTGCCCCGCTCTCTGCCCCTCCCGGGCCGTGCCCGCAGGTGCCCTGCCCGTGGCACCGCAGCTGAACTCCCAGCGCCCCCGGCGTGCCCCTCCCCGGCAGCCCCGGGCGCAGCTGAGGTCAGGGGCAGAGCAGGAAGAGAGAACAAACAAGCACACGGCAGCTCTGTGGGCTCGCCCCCTCTTCACACCTCCGCGGCTCTGAAAACCTTTGATTTCGGCCACATTGTCCCCGGCAGCACAATGGCTTCGCTGCTCGTGAAGCGGCGGCGAGGGACAGTGCCAGAGAGGCTCCCGGAGGCGCCGTTCTCACCAGCCTTCGCAGGAAGTGCGTGAGCAGAGCCTGGCTCAGGGCGCCCTCTCACGACGTGGGATTAGGAAGAGAACGGGTCCTGCTGTCGGCCGTGCCCGTTTTAGTCGAGCCGGAGTAGAAAGATCCAGTCCCAAACACGGATCATTCCCAGGGCCCGGGACTCTCCAACTCCCCCAGAACTACAACACGCAGGCTTTCACCCCTTCCCTGGAGACTAGTGCTGGTCAAGGAAAAACTCCATTACTCAGTCTGCATTCCTGAAGACAGGGTGCTACTGAATCTACAAGTAAAAGCACAGATATGTTTCTGATGTGTTTCTATCAGAACAATTCGTGGTTTGGCCTTCAGCTTCCTTTATTTCCTTTATTCTGCTGCTGCCGATGAAGATGCCGGAGAGCTTGTGACGTGCACAAGTATGTGTGAGCAGAAGGCCAGCCTGCTAACAAGCCTGGGATGACGAAGATTGCTTTAACACTGCCGCCTGAGTCCCTCACACCAAGCTGAAAGACAACAGACTGGTTGCAAAGGACAGTGGACCTCTGTGGCTTCGGTCACTTCTGACCGGTGGAGAGGACAGTCTCGCTGGCACACTGGAGAGCCAGCCCTTCGCCACACGCCAGCTCAGAACCAAGACAGACCCCACGCCCCCAGCTGGCAACACCAGCACCACCCCATGGCTAGGAAATCCGAAATATCGCCCGCCGCAAGTCCCGCCCCGCGGCTTGATTTTGATCCGGCTCAAGACGGCAGGCGGGAAACACACCGCCCGACTTGGAAAGAGGGCGCATTCTGGAACGCTGCAGCACACCGGACCTGCCCCGAACGAAGTGGAGTTTGGATTCACTGTAGCGCAGCACGGAGGGAATAAGGGAAGCGAGTCCCAGGTGCTGAGCGGGAGGGCGGGGCCGACGTGTTCCGATAAGACAGGGCTGCTAATGAGCTCCTGCAGTGGAAGCACAGCTCCGACACACAGCCCACATGCCCTCCTGCCGCTGCAACTGCTCAGATAACGCCCTCTATACCCCTCCTCTCCTAACGGGGGACAGGGAGCACAGACGTCCACCAGCCACCGGGCCAGCGGGAGATTTCTACCAGTACAAATCTTTAAATCCCCAGTGTCTGGCAGATGGACCTGAACTGGACAGCTATTGGACATCTTTCATACTACAGGCAAAGACGCAGCAGAGCAAAGAACACATTTTAGAAATTGTCACTTCTTATCTTAATAATTGCAGTACTTCCATTGTGGCTAGCCTTAGTATGTTTTCTGAACACGAGTAAGTGCGTATGAAAAGTCAGAAATAGCTAAATACATTTAAAATGTCGTCACTCCCACTCAAATTTCACTTCACCCAACTGGCACACGTGACTTGGGAGGAACAGAAACAGAGGTGGGAACAGCAGGAATTTTAATACATAACTGCTTTCAAGGAGGAAAAAGAAACTTCTCCTTGCCTTCAGATGCTAAAATAATCCCTGCAAAGAGATCTCAACCATTGTGAAAGGCACTGGTCCTGAAACAGACCTCACACGCACGACACACACGCAGAACAGGAGGGGAGCCGTCACTCACCAGCACGGTGTAAATGTGTAAACAGCGGTAAACAGGAGAGAAGTCCACCAGCTCCTGGGCTCCAGGCACCTGAGAGAGACAGAGAGACAGTCAGGCAGGGAGCTGCACCACCGCAGGCCACCTGAGCTACAGCACACCCTGGATTTCACACTGAATGTGACTACACTCACTGGTCCCCTGGTCCCTGCTGAAATCCTCTTACCAGTCTGCTTATTGACAGTGAGATTTACTCATTTGACAGCTGCTTTTATCCAAATCCAAACTGACTTATTATCACGTCCGGTCAAGACACAAAGGGTGAAGAAGCACAGAAAGCAGCAAGTCTTTAAACACAATATTACGTGCTGGGATGCTGCACAGATGCACAGACGTTTCAGTGCTGCTTGGCAGACAGGAAGTAGACACCAGGACAAGAACACCATCAAACAAGGCGAACATGTGCAGAGCAAATACCACCATGCAGGGGCCACAATCAAGGTGCTAAATAAAGAGACTGACTGACTGCCCAGCAGGAATCTGGGCACTGCCATGAGCTAACTGGGAAGAAGGAGGCTCTGACTGGAAGGGGAGGCCTATTATTTCATTAGCAGCAGTATCGGCATCGAGAGCTGGACTCGTACACGCCCTGCTAGCTTTATCTCGCCAACATGGCAATGCAACAGCAAAGCTCTCAGGAGAAAGCCCTGAAGTGACAGCCCCGTATCGTCACTGCCCTTGTTAACCATCTCCTTTTACATTTGAACTGGGAGAAGATTTTTTGTCTTTAGACTGAGTGTTATTTCACAACGGTTCTGCACAGGTATGACGCACGAGTCCCATCAGGACCAGTCACACACCGTGGAGAGCGAGGACACCTTCAAAGCCACCACTCTGTGCCAACAGACCACTGTAACCCCACCACAGGACACATTGCAAAAATTAAAGGGGAGAAAATATAAGAGATTCAGGGTAATGGAGAGAATTCCAGTGATCAGCAAGTACTGGAATTCTCTCCATTACCCTGAATTCCAGTGACCAGGAAGTACTCAATAAATCATTTTTTACAAAAACAAAACAATTGTATATATTTGTCACCATCTTCAGAATTTTGAATTTAAGGAATCTCAGACAGTTCACTCATAAGACCAAAACAAAGGTTAGAAACGAGAGGAGGCCATTTAGCCCATCATGTCTGAGCACTAGTAGCTAAGCTGATCTCATCCAGCTGCGTTTTGAAAAAGCCAGCTGGGCTTCAACAACATGGCTGAGTAGCTTGTTTCAAACTTCCACAACAATCAGGAATATCACAATTTATTATAGTATTATGAACATTATGAATTTATTAGGAAGACATTATTATTATTTAAAGCAGCTTATTGTATATATACACATATGGGTGGCTGGGTATTTTACGGACTAATGCGAGTGGTTCCCTGATTTAAGTGTACAACAGCAGTTTCCCGCTGGGATTTGAACCCACAACCTTCCTACAACGAGCCCAGAGCCCTGAGCACAGCCCCACCTTCTGTCCTCTCTCATGCAACACACTTCAGTAACCAAAGAGCTTGCTGTTAGCGGATGTTTCTTAAGAAATACACACATTTCAGTATATAAGATTGCAAAATGTCATTATGGTCAGTGAAAAATATTTTTTTTTCACTGATTAAAATCACAGTTTCCTCAGGGGCTCGATTACTCCTACATTATCATGGAAGTGATTTTGAGGAGTGTCCTGGACCAAAATAACAGCCAAGGGGAAAAGCGAACCTTAAGATGGAAAATTTAAGCACAGGGCACACTGAGCCTCCTGCTTCTGGATGTCCATTTCTGCACGTAACCAGCTTCACGGCACAGACAGAGGGCACAGCTACCAATCCTCTGGGCACTCGTTTTCCCAAAGAACAGAACTAAACAATGCCAGCTTTCATCTCATGCCCACAAAACAACAAGAACACTCAATGAACCAACAGGGAAAACAAAATAAAATTATCAAATAATAAAAACAATGTGCAAAAGAATGCCAGGAATGCCTCAGCCCAAACCACCACTGCTACTAAAGATAGCAGGGGGTCATTAACACGAGACATGTTTCCATGACGCAGCGCCGAGCCCTCGCCCAGCATTGTTTTGGGAAACACATTAAAAAGTGGGACCGATCAACAGATTAGGAGGGCATCTGTGTGGCAGGAACGTGTCTCATGCCCACAAACAGGAAGCCACGCTGGCACAGGGCACAGAGGTCTGGAGGAGGGCAGGAGGTCTGAACGCGGCCCGCGAGCAGACAGGTCAATGACCTCTGCCTCCAGCAGGAGCGGGACACGCCATGCAGCCCGGAAACAGGAAGGGCTGACCGGCAGGACAAGTGGCGCCCCCCGGAGGGCAGGAGCGATGCCCCGTCCTCGGCCTGGGCACCTTTGCCAGGGCTCCCCGAGCCGCGTCAGAAAGAGCACGCGCACAACAGGCCACCGAGCGGGCTCACAGCTCGGCCCGCCAGCTGAGCAACACGTTCTGGAAACATCAGACATGGCGCGGTTTTCCCTTTTGATTCCAACAAGCCCTGGGCCAAGTTCCATTATCTGAATAATGTTAAATAGCATTCAATTAACTCTGAATACTGTGCACTTTCACAGAACCTGGGAAAAGTGTCAAAACAACTTAAAACACAAAAAAGAGTGGATTACGTCTAGAAAGCACTCCATCTGAACAGTTCAGTTATTTTGCTGTGTGCTGGAGGGTATAAAAACTTTCACAATGAACCGAGCTTTCTCCCTTTGCACCATTCCTGCAGGAATAGTGTCAAATCTGCAATATTCCGGAAACTCAATCTTAGCACAGGAACAAATGACAGGAGCCCGTTTGGTAGTTAGTAGTTAATGGATCCATGACATCCAGCCATTTCCTGCAGGAAGCCAAAATATCAGCTTCACCCTCATGGCTGAGTATCTTGTTCCAGACTCCCATAGTGAAGAATCTCTCCAAGGGTTCAAACCAAGGTGTAACTCAAGCCATCAGTAAAGTGGCCTGTCCTTATCTACAGAGACTGTCCTGCTGGGGCTTGTCTAGTATGGAAAGCAATCTTGCCTACACCTCTCTTTGGGGCAGCCCACCAAGAAATGATCCAGGGAGTGTGACCAGCAAGGCAGTGTGAGGAAACTCTTTGCAGGTCTCAGTGCTATTGCAGACTGGAACGCTGTCGTAACTCCTATCAAAAGGATGCATGAATGAGTGAAGCAATGCTAAAAATACACTATTTTAGACAGTGGCTTTAAAAGCAATCATCTCAAAGAACTTTACAATACATACAAAACACACACTGTAAGACTAATATGATTGATAAGAGCGTTGTGGCTCAGCAACACAAGGCTCACAGAGGACGGACAGTGCAGACGAGCAGGGGACACACAGTGTACCAGAGCCAGCAGAGTGAGGATCAGATGGATCAGATGGAGAGGGACTGAGGGCTCACACCCTCAGGTTCAAAACTGGAAAGGAAGCCCGTGCAGGGACTCCAAGACAGGAGTGAGGTGATCACTTACACACTTCCTGCTCAGGATTCCAGCTGCCAAATCCTGAACTTATTGTGTAGTGTAGTTTTCGAGAATCTTTCAATCAGAGCTTTACAATCATCAATACTTCTGCTATAGACACAGAAAAGGATACCGCCTGGCACTATCTCTAATGCAATTCGCACAAAGTGCTGTCAACTGACAAGGTTACAGCATCGGTTTCTACATCGTCGATGAGAGGAACCCAATAACACAACTGAAACACAAAAGAGTCTGATCTAAAAATTATCATGAGAAATGCAATCAGAGAGTGCTTCCCCGGTATCAGGTTTAGTTTGGACACAGATGTGGGTGACATCTGCATTGAACGAATAGTTCAGACCATGTAATGGTAGTGTTTGACCAAGAAGGTGCCAGTAAATAGTGAGCAAGAAAGGACCTGTGAAACATCAGACATAACCAAACCCAACTAAAGGACCAAAACCACCAAGAGAAATTAAATGTTGACACAGAGAAAATAAAAGTATTTAAAACATTTCAGGTCGGTACCAGACCTGTACCACTCCCCACAAACCCTCAAGGCAGAGTGTCATGATTACAGATTCAAATTCAGCACCGAGACCTCAGAGGGTTGAGATATAGTGTCCTTGAATCAGCAGCCGGTTCGAGATCATTAGCAGCTTTACCAAGCGACGTTTCGGGGCTCTGCAATTGTCTAAAACAAGATTTATCTTCTTCTAAGGTGGTAGCAATAACACGTTCTGATCGGGAATACATGATTTAGTTTCTCCCTTGTCTTCACTGCCTTGGAGCGACCGGACCTGCTATATCCCAGCTTCTCCCAGCAGGAGAAGACCGGCACGCCTCCCTACGGAGCCCATGAGGGGAACCACGTACACAAACAGAGCCGCGTTACTACTAGATCTCTCCAGGGCCCTGGCAGATGTGCATGTTGGTATTTTGGGTAGATGATCCACCAGAAAAACGCAGCCAACGCCCAATTTAAAGATCAAGGTTGATTAGAACGGTCACCCTACGTCAATGCTTGGGCCGCACCCCTCCTATCACAGCGATCTGGAGGGTCTGGAAAGGAAATGAAGTTTGGCAGCTGTGTGAGAGGACACAAAGTCCAGGGTCACACCGATGGTGAACGCTTGCCCCCCAGCCCCCCCCTGAGGGGCATCTCCTTGCCCTCACTCGGATCTCTCCTCAGAGCCGATGGGAGCGCAGCCACGTGACTTGCGAGTCAGTATTTTATCAGGTGGGTAGATCAGATGGACCTGCCAAGGAGCAGAGTAATGACACTAAATGGCTTTAAATTACTCAGCCCATTAAAGAGGGCGTAGTCGCCTTGTGTTGAAGGCAGTGTCAGCCAAGAAGCCAGGGTCCCAGCAGAGCACCAATCGGAAGTCAGCCCTGGGCTGGCAGAGGTATGGAAAAAAATGTGCATCAGAAATCTCGCCCAACGGACTTTGTCTGCTGCTCCTGTCACGTCTCTTATGGCATCAACGCGTCTGAGGCTCTAAATATAGAGCAGTTTCACCTCAGAAATCTAGGGCCATTCTGCAGGACAGGAAAAAGTTCCCAAATGTCATCCCTACGACATGAAGGTCTCATTCCCTGCACGCGTGCACACAGTGCAATGCCATAGAGACAAACAGGCCGCTCAAGAGCACAGCCAGAGCAAGAGAAGCCTTTCAGAAAGGGACCCCTGGTCACGACACGGCGCCTGACATCCAGCCCCAGCCACAGGAGTCCCGTTCTCCTGAACTGCAAATGATGTACACAGGTTTACAGAGAGAACAGCAGACAATCGAACCTCGAAGGCTCAAACTGAACACTTCTTTAAGCTACTTTACCTTTGCCTA